CGTGGGCTGCAGGGAGCGGCTTGCCCGGCCTCCTGCGTGATGCAAGGGCAGCCGGTGCCTGCGGGACCCTCCGGCACCGAGCTCCCGCTGGGGGCACCAGGCAGCCGCCGAGCCCCCGCCCCGGGGCAGCCCCCTGCCACCCACCTGCAGCGAGAAGAGGACCACGGTGAAGCAGACGATCGTGGTGATGCCCACGGCCATGATGACCGAGTCCGTGTCGTAGAAGCTGGCGATCATGCCCACCATGTAGGAGAGACTCAGCGTCAGGATGGACTGCGGGGCAGAGGGGCTGCGGTCAGCGGGGTGGCCAGCCCATGCCTCCCCGGGCCCTCGCACACCCCAGCAGCGCCTCGCTGGCCCAGCCTCAGAACGGCTGCTGAGCCTTACGCTCTCGAGGCAGCCGCCATGCCCCCCCCGCTCTCCTGCCCGTCCCGGGCCCAGTCCCTACCAGGGCCACGAGGTTCCAGGGGTGCTTGCGCCGGAACTCCCCGCAGCAGCTGAGCACGATGAGGGAGATGAAGAAGACGGCGTACGAGACGTAGTAGGTCCAGACGTGCTTCCGCACGAATCCCTTCACGCCCTTCGCGAAGGTGAAGATGGCCACGAAGGCAAAGGTCACGGAGAGCTGGAGGGTCAGCACCAGGAACACCTGCGGGGCGAGGGCCGGGTCAGGAACTCTGGGGAGCGTGAACGGCCGGGGCAGCGCAGGGCAGGGCAAGGATCTTCGGCTTCCCCGAATCTCCCGACGCAACACATTCCTTCCGAGAAGGGGCTCCGTGTGCTGCCGCCTCCGGCTTCACGCCTCCTGCTCGCTGCGGAAGACGGGGTGATGCCGAAGAGCGTTCGCTCGCCACGGCTCCTCCCTCCAGCAGCGGCTCAGGGCCTTGTGCAACGTCCTTCCGGACCGGATGTCCCGGCGACCGCAGCGAGGACATCCGGCACGTGGGGGGGCCCACGGCCATCCCGCACCACCGGCAGAGGCACCCGCAGGCGGCTCGTGGCCACAGCGGGCACGACGAGGCCGGCGGCCCCTCCTCCTGCCCAACTCACCTTGCGAATGAAGGCCTGGCGGATTTTCGCGTCATCCCAGTTGGTGGGAGAGAAGTCTGGATTGTCGTAGTAGGAGGGGGGTCCGTCCTCGTGGTAGTTGCTGTGCAGGGGCGCTGGGGGGGGCGGCACAGCACAGGCGTCACGCCGGTCCCCCCGCTGCTGGCCCAGGCCCCCGGCCCCCCACGTGGCCGGGCTGCAGCTCCCTCCGCCCGGCCCCGTCCCTGGCAGGGGCACCTCCTGCCCCCAGGCTGGGCGCCCCCGCTCCCGTGCCCTCCGGTCAGGGTCAGGGCCCCGGCCCCAGCTGGGGCCCAAATGCAGCACGTGAGCGGGGCAGCCAGACTTCACGGAGAGGCCACTCCCCTACGACACCCGCCCTGCATGAGGAGGGGGAGCGCTGGCTAGAGCAAAGCTGCGGCCCCACAGACCCCCCCCCCCCGGGAGAGCAGCTCCATGGCCACACACCCCACAGTGGCAAAGGCCCCCCCCCACCCCATGGGGCACATTACTTACAGCCTTGGTCCATGGGGACTCCGGGATGCGGCTGGGCATAGGGGTCCGGTGGATGTGGCCCCTGTGGGTACGGTGCTGGTGGGTAGGGCCCCTGAGGATAGGGCCCCTGAGGATAGGGCCCCTGCGGGTAGGACACCGGAGGAGGATAGGGGCCCTGGGGGTAGGGCCCCTGTGGATAGCCGGGCTGACCGTAGGCGGGCTGGGGGGGCGGCTGGGGGTAGGGGGCTGTCGGGTATGGGGGCTGGGCGTAGCCAGGCGGGGCCGGAGGCTGCTGGCCCGGGAAAGGGTCGCCCGACACCAGGAAGCTCTTCTCGTGCAGCATGGCTGTGGGGCTGGCGGTCGGCCGACTCGCAGAGCTGCAAGAAAGAGCACAGGAGGGAGTGAGGAGCGGCTCTGCAAGCCGTGGGGGAGCCTCCCTGCGCAGCCCCACTGCCTGTGGGGCTGGGGACCCCTTGCATGGCCCAGGAGAACCGTGCACGTGCAAGCCAGGTCTGCCTCGAAGCGCGCCCGCCTTCCTGCCTTCCTTCCGCCAGCATGGAGGGCTGGCTGGCTCGCTCACTCCGCCAGTCGCTTGGGTACGTGCAACAACCAGCAAGCCAAAGCCTACCGCAGAGGAGCCGTGCCCCAGACGGGGGGCAGCCCCCAGCGGACCCCCCCCATGAAAGCAAGTCCACCCGGGATGGCCTCTCTGGAAGCGGTCTGTCCGGAGGCCTGGGGGCTGCTGGCCACGTTTTCAGCCGAGGCAGCCACAAACCGAAGGGAGGCCGGCCGGGCACAGCATTCGGGACCAGCCGCTGTCCCACAGGAGAGGGGAGTTCAAGCGTTTCCGGGTGGCCTTTCAGACGAGTGGCCCTCTTGCCCACAGCGCAGCGCCACCTGATGATGCACGGCTGCATCGTGGGTGGGGGCAGGCCGGGAGCCCTCCTTCGCCGGCGTGCCTGTGGGGTCTGGCCAGCCCCCCCGCAGTGGCAGCCCAGCCGCTGGAGAGGAGAGGAGAGGCGCCCCAGCCGGACCGCTTCCTGGGCAGGGGCTGCAGAGAGGACCCCTGCAATTCCGCCCAGGGGCCCGAGTGGTGTGACCTCCGCCACCGCCCGCCACCCTTCCCTGCGTCCTGCTGCGCGGCTGAGCAGGAGGAGAGGTGTGGTGGGGCGCCCGCGTCGGCCCGGATCCGGCGCGCAGACCTTGTGTCCAGGGGCCAGCAGCCATGCGCCCGGGCCCAGGGTTCCCAGGCACCCCGGTGCTCCTCAAAGGCGGGGAATGCCCGGCGGCGCCTGGCTGAGCCCCGTCTCTCAGGCCCAGGGTGGCGAGGGCAAAGGGGGAAGGGGCCGCGGGCTGCCTCAGGCGCCTGGGGGAGGGGGCACGGGGCCATCGGCCAGACCTCAGCCCCGGACCGGCCCCCCTCTGGCCCCTCCCCACACGTGTGCCCCTGCCGTCAGCACGCCCCACCGCCACGTCGCCGGGGGCTTTAGGCGCTTGGGGGCACGGGAGCAGCCGCCTCTACAGGCTGCCCTCGGAGCAGGTGGGCCGCGGCCGGCCCCTCCGGGGGCACCAGGCCGGGGGGCCCTCCCCTCCCCTCCCCACACGCCCGGCCACGGGCGCCGCGGAGCCCCACTCCCGGCAAGGGCTGCTGCTGGCCGGCCGGCCGGCCCCTTCCTCACCAAGCCGAGCCTCGCTCTGCGCCTGGCAGCCTGTTGCCGCGGCAACCGCTGGCCCGACCCTCGCACACCCGCGGGCCGAGGCCGGGCCACACGCGCCACGGCCGGCCTCCCACGGGGGACACGGGAAGCCCAGCCGCAGGGGACGCGTGGCAGACACACAGGCGCAGGGCGAGGCAGGAGGGGCCTCCCGGCCACCTAGTGACCCCGGCTTGGCCGGCTCCGCTCACGACATGCCCCCCACGAGCATGTCTGGCCGTCCTCGGACACCCTCACCGACGGGGGCTCAGCCACCTCCTGGGGAAGCCCATCCCACGCCCTGGGGGTCCCGACTGGCAGGAAGGGCTCCCCGGCATCCAAATGGGACCTGGGTTCCCTGAGCTCGGCTCCCTCGGAGCGCATCCTGCCCTCCCCCCCACTCTGGCCCTGCTGCCCACCAGCCCCACCGTGCGGCTGCCTGTCCCTCGCCCGGACGCAGGGGCGCCAGCTCAGCGGCCCCCGCCAGCTTCGGGGCCCTGGCAGGGCGACTGGGCCCCGTCCAGCCCAGAGGCGTTTGCACCCGAGGCTCTCGCGGCCCGTTTCCACCGCCAACCGGAGACCGCAGCGGGAGCTTCAACAGTACGGGGTGACGCACCCCATGATGGCAGTCCGGCCGTGTTTCCGAGGAACCCCAGAGGTGGCGCCTCCGATCCGGGAGGATGCGCCCAGAGTCCAGCCCTCCTTCGGCCGCCCGGCCAGAGGCCTGCCGCGAAGAGGCCCCGGCCCGGCCCTGGAGCTGCTCCAAGGGCTGGCGAAATGGGCCGCGTCCTCCAGCGCTTCCGCAAGAAGCAACATGCTGATCTTTCAGGGGCCCCTTTGAAGCCACTTCTATCAAACTTGGGACTCTTTTTATTATTGGCTAGAGAAACAGGACTTGGCATAGATTTAAATATGTTTTTAAGTTATCATAAATGGAAAAAGAAGGGTGTGGGGGCTGACCCACTGGGCTCGATGTTTTTGATGATGGATGTTGTTTGTAGTTTTCTTTTTGTTTTTTAGGATTATAATTTCAAATAAAACTTATTTAAAAAAAAAAAAGTACTTTGAAGCCATTTACGCAGTCGTTGCACTAAGTGGCCCGCGCTTTCCACAGTGCTTCCCGGGTCCTCCGTTAAAACAGGTGTTGCTGTGGCCGACTCTTTACCCCTAAGATTCACCACGGACACCTTACAGCTGGCTGGCCGAAATTACGTTTTCAAGCAGCTCAGCAGCCCTTTTCACGTTAGGTGCCCAAACGGGCTCTCTGCACAGGCTCAGGCCGCCCCAGGCCTTCCAAGCCCGGCACAGCCAAGGCCCTCCACTTGATGCCGCCGGCTCGGCCACACACAGAACGGAAGCAAGGCTGGCCTGCGCCTCCCACCGGGGGCACGGGCGCCTCCGCCTTCCCAGGAGGGTGGACAGGATGCTGGAGCCTTGGCCACCCGGACACTGTCCTGCCATCGCAACCCCGCGCCTGGATGCGTGCTGACACCCTTCAGGGACTCCCGGCTTCCCCAGATGGGCCGGGATGCAAGGGAACCCAGGGCTTCCAGCTGCCAGCCAGCCAGACGGGTGGCGTGGTGCCCTCCTCGCTGGGCCGGCATGGGGGGGCAGCCTCTTCTCTCGGGAGGAAGCTCTCCTCAGTCGACCACGCCAGGACCCCCCCCCCCCACCCCGCAAGGCCCCATCGCCCTGCGTGCTGTGGCGCCACAGAGGCAGGCTCGTGCGGGCCTCGCGTCTGCCTCGGCATCGGCCGAGGGAGGCTGCCGGGCTGCTTCTGCGCCGCACAGGCAGCAGCCCCCAGTGCAGCGGGCGGGAGGGCCCCCGCCGAAGGGTGCCTGGCTGCACGAGGCCCTCCACCGTGTGGGGCGGAGAAACACCTGCAGAGGCAAGCTGAAGTCCAGACGAGGAGTTCAAGCACTGCAGACTGACGTGACCCGTCCCAGGAAGCCCTGCATGCCCCCTGCGTCTTTCCAGCATCTCCCTGCTTCCTTGGAGCCGAGCCACTTTGGTGAAGGGCTTCAGTTGGAGTAATTCTGGATGCAGCTCAGCACCGTCAAACTTCAAAAGCAGCCGGGAGAGAGACGACAGGACTGGGGCGAGTGGTGCGCGGTGTTTCACCCCGACTGCCTGGCCCGGTTTCATCAAGGGGCGCCTCCCACGCGGAGGCTGCCACCCTCCAGCATCATGCCCGGCTCTTGCTGGCCCCGGGGGCTCTGGGCTGGAGGGGAAATGAATGCCCATTCGCCCCAGTCTGGTGTGCGCTGCTGCAAGGCAGGCCGGTCCTGCATTCTGGAGGGTAGCACAGATCTGCGTTCGGTTTGGCCCTGAGACAGGGCGCATCATCTGCCCCTGAGGCTCCGAACGCCCACCCCACCATGGAGGGAGCCCGGCTGGGCAAAGCCAGCCAAAACTGTGGGGAGCGTCCTGCCCCTGCCCCTGCCCGAATGCCGACAGCACGCTTAGCCCGACTCCCGGAAAACCAGGCTGGCTCATTCTGTGCCTGCTCCACGGAAACTGGTGGAAAGCCGCATTAGCAATAAAAGGGTTGCGCTCGTACGAGAATAAGACGACTTATTTTATAATGTTTTATAATGTGAATGTGTTTTATATTTTTAGTGTTTTATATTTTAACTGATGTTGTAAGCCGCCCCAAGGCTTCGGCAAATGGGGCGGCATAGAAATTTTTAAATAAATACAAATGAAAAAAAAATAAGCGGGGCTTAAGGAGGCCTTCATTCCCGGAAGGGAATCCCTGCCTCTCTTGCCTTTCAGAGTCTCAGCACCTAAGATCCAGTAGACACTCCTTGCCTGGAGGTCCCAAATGCGCGCCTGACTCCTGAGCAGACCTGTCCGTCCCGGAGTAACAAGGAGGCCCTTTCAGAAGGACCACCAGTTAGAGGACAGGGACGGTGGGAACAATGGACATTTCTCTGGGACGTAAACACCAGCCCCACAAATACCGCACTGGGCCAGGGATGGGCGAGTGCCTCAGGCTCGCTGCCCCAGTCTCTGGCCCACTGTCCCACGGCCCCGAGCCTGGCTCCCTGGCCCCGCACCGGCCTGGTGCTCAACGGGATCCGGCCCCACGTGACTGTTGCACACGCAGCTCCCCCGCCTGCGTCGCATGCCACAGCCTTTGTTTGTGCTGCCGCACGTGGTGTGGAAGGAGGTTGTGGGTTGTGCAACCTTCATTCCACGGGCATTTGTGGCCTTCGCTTCTGCTTGGCTCCCTTTCTAAGGGAGAAAGTCCACAAAGGTGAACTTGGCCTGCTTCAAATTGGGACAAGTCCTTTCTGTCTCACTCACAAATCTTTTGGAACCGAAGTTAAGGGTGAGGCTCTCGGGTTTGCGGATGATGCCAAACTATTTAGGGTGAACATGGCCAAAGGGGACAGCAAAGACGTCCAGAGCAACCTCTCCACGCTTGCTGGAGTCGGAGGAACTAAAGCAGACGGTGGGGGCGAAAAACGAAATTCTTAATATTAATTACAACCGAAAAATAAATCACCACGGCCAGATAGGCCCTAAGATCAGCCTCTGTACCAAAGAACTGCAGAATGACCAATTTATCATTTTTAAAGGGTCCAGGGGTGTGTGATCTGGGAAATTACAGGCTGGTCGGCTTCATGTCTCTTTGGTTAAACTGGTGAAGAGAGTTATTCACGAATTAGCAAGCATCTCAAAGGACAAGCCCTGCTGCAGAAAGGCAAACTGGCTTCCACAAGGGTGCATCCTGCCTCGCTGACCTTGCCCAGTTCCTTGAGAGCATCAGTGAATACACGGGCGGGCGGGCAGGCTCCCCCAGACACGGCTTCTGTGGGCTTCCGACAGGCTTTCGACACGGGCCCCTCACCAAAGACGCTGGAGCAAACATCACAGGCGCAGAGTGGGAGGGAAGATCCCCTAAGGGGCATTAACTGGTTGAACATCTGAAAGCAGCGTGCGAACGAAGGGTGATTTTGTTCCCCCGCTGGGTCCCACAGTGCCTGTGAGAGGCAGTGTGAAAGGGTGCTTAAGAGCACGGACCGAGGCTCGGGAGATTTGGACTTTGCCGTGGAGCTGGCTGGGGGACTTTGGGCCAGTCACGGACTCTCCCAAAACCTACCTCACAGGACTGTCACTGCGAGGCTAACACTGAGCGGAGGAGAATCATGTAAGCTGCCTTGAGTTCCTTTAAAGGGAAAAAGCTGGATGTAAATATAATTAACAAATAATCCGAGGCTTTTCGCCCTATTCAAAAATGATCTGGGATTGAGGAGTGAGCAGTGAAGTGGCTCAGCACACGGAGCTATTTAGGGTGGTTAAATCTAAAAGAGACGGTGATGGTGGCGCTCCCAGGAGACGTCTCCAAGCCGGGAGGACCGGCGCCAAAAGGATGCGTGCAGTTCAACAGAAGCGGGAGTGCTGTCAGCGTCTGTCGGGGCGAAAGGTCCCAGCAGCACATGCGCGCCGGTGCCTTGCAGCCACTGGTCAAGAATGGGGTCTTGGGGTGGCGGGGGCCAGCTCGACGGGAACATCAACCCATGTGCAGCTGCCATGAAAAGGGTGCACTCCATGTTGGCAGACCGAGAAAGCGATCGAAAATCATCCAGCCAATGTCATTCTGCCCGTGGTCACATCTGTGGTGCCGCTGCACTTGCAAAGGGTTGTGGGTTGGGAAACGCGCAGGGGGGACAACAAAGCCGATCAGGGGCTGGAGGGGCTCCCCTGGGGAGCGGCTGCGGTGCCCAGGACAGGGAGCTCAGAGGGAGGGCGCGCACGGGAGAGGTGAGTGAGGGGTTCGCCATTTTGCCAGGTGTGGAGAGAGTGGGGGGAGACCCTTCTGCCCTCCCCGTGATGGCAGAGCACAAAGTGGGGAGCCACGCTGCTGGTCCGTGCCTGAATGTACGATGGGACACCAGCTTAAGGTACGCACACCAGACTACCGGCAGAAGGCAGCAAGGAAGTGGAAGGAATGGCTGCTGGTGAAAGTGAAATAGGGAACCACGAAGGCTGGGCTGCAGCTGGAGAAGCAGAAAACAGGAACCACGCCTGCAGAAGAGCCGCTAATGAAGAAGCTGTGGCCAGACACTGCCCCACCAGCCACAGCGCCAGATGCCAACGCGGCTGCCCCGTGAGGCTGGGTGCGGGTGCGCGCAAGAGGGAAGGTCTCCCGCACGGCGCACGCTCCGCCAGGCAGCCCAGCAAGCGCAGCGATGGCCTCGCGTGGAGGGTTCTCCAAAGGGCACGCCGGGGGTCTCCAGGGGCCCCAGGAGGCACGGGGGGCCTCTGCAGCAGTGGAGCGGCTGTCCCCAGCCCTGCGGGTGGGCGGGCCTCTGGGATGGCGAGCCGGAGCACAGCCGTCCCTGGCCCGGCCCATCGGACTCCCACTGCACTCTTGCTGCCAGGCCTGCGGGGGGGGGGGGGGGCAAGGCGGAGGACCCCTCCCCTCCATGCATGTGCACAGAAGGCTTCCAGCCTGGCTTCAGGAGGCGCCAGGCCAGCCAAGCCAAGCAAAGCAGCGCTGGCCCTTGCTCGGAGGGCAGGAAAAGGCCTTCCGCCCCTGCCTGTTTCCCGCTGAAGAATTTCTCTCCTCGTACGGCGAGAAGGTGCATGGCGCTTGAACGCCCCTGCACCAGCCATGCTGAAGAAGGGCTGCGGGAGGAATCCCGGTCCCAGGCCGCTCCATGCAAGGCCTGGCGGCCTGAGGGGCGGGCTGCCACCCAAGCATCCCTTGGGGCGCGTGCAGAGCGGCCGTCACCGGGCGGGGCTGCTGCCAGTGAAGCGCCGTTTGCAGTGCCACCAGCGCAGCCTGATCCAACGAGCAGGGGGGCCAAGGCAGCGTCCCTCCAGCCAGCTCGCCCCTTCCCTGTCTTCACCACACGACCCCGGGTGTTACTCTGGCTCCCAGAGAGAGCGAGGCCCCGGCGGAGGGGAGATCTCCCGTTTCGTGGCAGCGGCAGAGTCCTTTGTGCCTGGCTGAGGTTGGGGATGTGAGGTTAAGCCCGTGAGTCCGAAGGCAGTTAAGCTGTTTAACGGGGACCTGATGCTATTTTAAACTGGGTGTGCAAACATGTCTGCCCAGGCAGGCAGACGAAGGTGTCCACAGTGCCTGGGCTGCAAGCCCAGCTTCCAGGGGGCGCCTGCTCCTCAGGCCCGGTTTAAATCCCTCCCAGCTGTGGCATAACACCCAGCATGCAAACACAGCGGACGTCGAAGCAGCAATAACGCAACGCAATCAGAACTTACTTCAGCAGCGGGCAAGAAAGTGACCTATATACAATCTCAAGCAAAGAACAGCCCCCCCACCCGGCGGAAAGTCGGACACAAGCTCCCCATCTGGCGCTCTCCACGAGACGCGCATCAGCCGCACGGCGCTGGAGGAGCTTTCCAAGGCACCCCGTAACCATTCCTTGGCTTTGTCAGCCAAAACCAGTGCCCTGAACTTTACATGCAAGCCAGCGAAAAGGCGACTGGATGCGGGCAAGTCGCAGCCCCAGCAGCCGCTTCCAGTGCCCAACCTGCCTGTTGTGCTCAGAAGCAGCTGCACCTTCCGAAGAGCTCTGGAGGCCCGTGTCCCCGATGAGGCAGCTGGCGCGGCGCCAGCGCAAGCAGCTGCCCATACCACTGACGCTCCGGCCTCTGCACTGGGGCTGCCTAGCAGCTACCTCAGTCCTCCAGGGGTGCAGCCCCTTCCTGAGGGAGGGACCCCCCAGGGCCAGTCCCGCAGGTAGCCACCCATCCTCTGGGCATGCGCATCACACTGGTCTGAAGGGAGGGCAGGACAGCGAGCGAGTTCAGACTGCAGGGGCCGTTCCCAGGCCCGGACACCTGCTCATGCTCAGCAGGCCTCGCTGGCTGGTAAACAAGCTGCAACAGAATGTCTGCTTGCAGCCACGGGGCCAAAGGCGCTGCCCCCCCGAGCCCGAGCACCAGCCCTCCGTCCCCAGCATGGGCCTGGCACTTGGGTTCTGCCCTTGAGCACGCCCGCCCAGGCAAGCGGCCCAGCAGCCCTCTGGACTGGGGCAGCGCTCCATCCCAGCCAGAACCGCGGTAAGGCTGGCCGCCCTCTGCCAGCTGCGGGGGGGGGGGGGAATCTCCTCTCGCCCCACAGCTCTGCTTGCACACGCCACAAGAGGGAACAGATGCCAAGGAGAGGGGAGCCCGCAATGGGGAGCCAGCCTGGTACCTCACCCACCGGCCTTTGAGCTCTGCTTCTGCTCAGACGCTGCCACCACACTCCTCCTCTGCAGAAGAGACAGCCCCCTCCTCACCGGGAGGCCAGCCCACCCTGCGCAGCACCGCATGCCTCCCCTCTCCCGTTTTTAGGATTCTCCTGCCACGGTGCAGTCCAAGCTGAGCAAAGCAGATGCCCCAGTCCCCCAGGATGCCCCTCTGCTCACCTCTCTGGACTCAGTGCCAAACTCCGTCCACACGGTGGCTTTCGGCGCCGGAGTCTTCTCGGATCAGCCACCCTCGCAAGGCTCCTCACAGTGCCATTTGCAGCAAGGGCTTCTCACCCGAAGCGGCTGCTGGACGAAGCTGCCTCCTGCCATGAGAGACAGAAAGGGCCAAATTCAGCTCTGCCACAACACACAGCTGCCCCGAAATTCCTGCACAGATCCAGGCGCCTGCACACTGCCCGGGCGGCTGAGCGCACAAAGCCGTTCTGAAGGGTTTCTAGAGCAACACAACTCCCAAAACCAGAGCAGGGAGAAACCCCGTGCCTCTTCCACACAGGTGTGGCTGCAGTGGGGCAAAGCGCAACGAGGCAGAGCAGGGCCCCATCCATCGCGAGGGCAAACTGAGGCACCGATGGGGAAAGGGGGCGGGAAGGCTGAAGGAGGCACCAGGTGGAGGAGGAGGAGGAGGAGGAGGAGGCGGTGAGCCCCAGCACCCACGAAATCCTTCCGAGTGGAGCCCCCTTTCCCGGGAGCATCGCCGGCAGAGAGACTCGCGTGGCGGTGCATGTGCCGCGCATCTTGCAAGCCCGGGGGGGGGGGCGGGGGCCTCGGCGCTCCAGCTGAGCCGGCCTGCGCAGGAGGCCTTGCCTTCCGCTGGCGCCCCCGGGGGCAGGTGCCCTCTCCCGGCCGGTCCCTGCAGCCTGGGCAGTTCTCCAGGTGAGAGCGCAGGGCGAGCCAGAAGGGGAAAAGCCAGGCCCGCGGGGGGCGCTCGGGGGAGGCTCCCGCGGCGGCACGCCAAAGGGCTTTCCCCCGCCCCGCGGAAAACCGCCCGGACGAGACCCGCGCCGCCTCCCCCTCGCAGGGCCGGGCTGTCCCCCCAGCACAGCTGCCGGCGGACCGGAGGCTCTTCCCCTCCGCGGAGCCAGCCCGGGAGCCGCGCGGCCGGGCTGCAGGAGGGCGCGGAGGCCCGGATCGCCGCCCACCCGCCTCCACGCCCC